CCCACGTCCCTCGCCGGCGCTGCCCTTGCGATTGCCGGCGACCCCGTACCGGGCATGGCGGGAGGGCCGGTGTGCTGCAGTGGCGTTGCATTGTCAATTTCCTCCGGTGCCTCTGCTTCGGCGTTGTGGATGTGAGCCGGCGCTGCTCCGGCCGCTGCGTTGCTGGGCCCTGGGAGCGCGGCCAATTCTTCTTGCAGAGCTGTCCCCTGATTGCGAAGCTGTTCCCAAGACTGGTAACGTGATAGCAACTCATAACCGCGCCTGTGCGTCTCGCGAGCCTGCCTCCGTTTAGCGTTTCTGTTTGAATTGGCCCGCTGATGGGCTTCCTGCCAGGTGCTAACTGCTACCGCGCTGCCACGGCTAGGCCTGGTAAGTCCCACTGGAGCCATGGCTGCCTGATACGCTGAACAAAAGGCTCGCCTACCTACAGCTGCAGCCATACTTAAGAACTGTCTGCAACTACGCAAAAGTCAGCGCCTTCCTAACTGCGCACGGAAACTCAGCGGCAAAGACCTGAAAGGCCAGCTGAGGGCAAACTGTTTAACCAAGGTCAAAACGTCTAGCACCGTCCACTCGCAAGCCTGGTGGCGACTGCTCTGCTCCCTGTCGTACATGCGCTCCAAAACCCCATTTTTAGTTGACACTCAAAATGATACATAAAAGTTGCGAAAACGACGGAGATCGTCGCTGCCTGTGATGCTGTACGGCAGGGTCGAGGTGCTTTTGAGCCTCAGTCGCAGATGAACCTTAGGACAGGTTAGAAAACGGCGTCTTTAAGTGAGGTAGTGTGCAAGAAGCGCGAATGAATGCCGCTAAACGAAACGCTTGCAATTGACGAGCGACGACTGTTAACGGGCGCGATACGGACCATGAGAAACCACTGCAACAAAACGTAGATTGCTTGCTGCACGGAGTCCTGAGGTTTGAGATGCAGCTAGGACTTAATACCGCGCACCAATGACTGCGTTACTAACACAGCATGCGTGTACGGTACATAATCCCGTATATCGTTGGCCGACAGGGCGCATTGAGTGGAAATGTGGAATGGAGATATGGAGAATGAGGGAGTCAGTGTTATGCATGATCATAACTTCTACATGCGAAATCACGGTAACAACAATGGTGGCTTCTACGAAGGGATACTGCAACAGAGAACAGTGACCAGCGGCGTGCGAGCTATAGTCAAGCTGTGATGACAATTGTCCACAAGTTTGCCTTGCTTCGAAGTGAACAGGACGGGTTGGCGCGCGCAACCGCTAACCTTTGGATGGACTTAGCCCTAGCGCCAGAGAAGCTCTTATAGATTAACCAGCTCGCCGTGAGACTTTTTGCGCACTGGCCAGGGAAGTAAGGCCCTTGCGAAAATAGCGGGACGCGTGAATTGCCATCCAAACTTGTTGAAGACGAATAATTTCAAGACATTTGGCAACAGAGAACTAGGTTTTCTGTCGCCACTTGTTCCGTGCAAGCTCGTGTGCCAGGGAATGACAGAGCCTTGGAGCAAGGCACAACATCGTAACGGTCTTTCATTTATTGGTGCTGCTTGCGGGAACATCATTGCTACCGCAAACCGGGAACATCATTGCTACCGCGAACCGGGCTGCACCTAACTTGGGCATGCCACGCGACCCACTCAGCCTGATGTGGAATCTGCTCTTGCTCCTTATTTGCCGTGGCGCTGCATGTCTCCTACATGCCCCTTCCATACTTCAACTTTAGCTTTGTACCTCGGGTGGGTCCTCGTTGCTCCTGCCGTTATGCCCACTGCCCACATCTGCACTTCCTCTCAGTCCTGTCCATGTGTTGTGTGCCGTGCTTGGAGATGCATGCACTGGCTGAGCTGGTGTGTCTGAATACCGGTATGCGAAGGGACTAAGCGATATGGGCTGGTTCCCTGGGTTGGCCGGGTAGGGAGCAGCAGCAACAGCAGCAGCATCGGTTTGCTGGTGGTGCTGGTACTGGTGGTGGTGTGGTGGTGTGGGAGGGGCTCGTCCCGCAGCACGGGGAAGCCGTTGTGTTGGCAGCGCTGCAATACATCGGTCAGCTTGCAACCCTGATGGCAGGGGGGGAGGAGCCGAGGAGGGGAGGAGGAGGTGGCACGCATAGAAAGGCGAGGTGGGGGTGGGGGTAACCTAATCCAGGAGAGATGCGCAGTTGGGGTGGTGTGAGATAGTAGGAAAAGAGGTGTGCTGGGGTAAAAAGAAGAAACACACACATGTACACGCAGGATGACCCCGGCAGGCAAACCAACTTTAAAACAGTGGAAGCATATCACCACAATGCAGCCGGTAAAGGGTTGTATGGCCCCCTAACTCGTGCTCGCCGAGGTGGTTTGCCGAGGACTACTCTGTTAGGTTATCATCTTGACCTGCCGGGCGAATGGCTAATGGCAACTAGCAGCGCCTGCAAAGGTGCCGGACTAGACATGGGACATCGTGGATGTTGTCTTGTCGTGATGTGGATGGGGCATGCTGAGTGCGTTGTTGCGGCACATGGCTTGGGGACTGCAATGTTGGCGACCATGTTAGGGACGCATTAGCCAAAATGCAAGCAGGCATCGCAAAGCAAGCGCCACTCATTAGGTTTATGCTCAGTGTAAGGGCGGGAGGGCGGGCCATGTACGTTTTTGCATCTGAGGCGAACCGCCCATTGAGCGGCGAACGCGTTTGGAGCCGTCTAAGTACTCAGGGCACGGCACAAAGGCAACCGGTGGTTTCCTTTCCCTTACTGGCGAGAGTTGAGCAGTCGAATACTGGATTCCAAAGAATGATAACACCCTCGGGGGGGACATCATCGCGGCATATCGTCGCATGTCGTTCCTTCCAACATCCTGTAGTCCAACCTTCCTACCATCAGTGACATGACCTTCGCAAAAAGCATCTTCATGCATGCATCGGCAACCAAGCAAATCCGCTAATTCCACTCTACTAGTATTCGCGACCAAAACCATATATCCTACTTCCATTTAGAGTAAAGCCTACGCCACACCTCCTCAACTCACCATATTTTCTAATTACGCCAACGTCAACGAGGTAGGCACTGCAAATTATTTCTAATAGCTAGTCACTCATCAGCCATTAATGTACTAGCATCCGGCAAACAATAGCAAGCGTTAACAGCTCGCACAAGGTCACCTAGGGACCTTGGCCAGCAATGACCCATGGGTCACGAACGAATGACATTGCAACTCCTCCCCATTCGCATGCACAATGTACATTCTTCTGGATAAACCGCAAGAAAAATCCTCTTCTTCGCCAATGCGCCACTACCCACTCCTACCGCTGCCAGCCGCTGCTGATGCAGACCCAGCAGCGGGCAACTGCGACCCGCCGGCTCACACTCCCGTCTCGTCCAGCACCCGCCTCACCACCCGCTCCATCAGCTCCTCCATATCCACCACATGCGCAGAACCGCTAGCTGCACCACCACCACCGTCGCCGCCGCCACTGCTGCTGGTGTTCTCGCCACCACCCCCTGCAGCGCCCGCAGCAGCACCTGCAGTGGCACCCCGTGCAGCGGCAACCTCAGCAACACCCGCCGCTCCTGCGCCGCTCTGCTGCCCGTGCTGCTGCTTGTCATTCCGGATGACTTGCATGCTTTCCTTGATTTTCTGCAGGTCCGCGGCCGCCTTGAGCTTCTGCATGCGCTTGTCCTGGATCAGGGTGGTACGAACGGGCACTGAGCCGTACACAGCCACCAGGGCGCGTACGAACTGTGCCGTGCATGTCGTGCATTGGGGAATGGGCGGGGACGGGAGGGGCGCACATGGCGTTTAGAGGGATAGGTTTGGTATGAATGTCAGAGGACGCAGGAGAAAGACGAGGCGCCCTAAGCAATGAGTGCAATTATAACCCCAGAAAGGTCCTCAATGGCCTAGCCTTGGCCCTCAGTGCCTCCGGTCTAATGCTACCCTCCTCTTACAGCGCCACAGAAAAGCACATTTTCATCCAGCTGCCGATGCTGCCGTGCCTACCTTCTTGAGGTTCTGGTCCTCAAGCCCGCCGCAGTCCAGGAAGGGGTGGAAGGGGTTGGGCCGGCCCTGCAGCCACACCGCCCAGCAGAACCTGCGCACCAGCTCCGCAGCCCAACGACCCCACGAGCCTCCCTCGCCCCCGCTGCCGCCTCCACCATAGCAGCCGTTGCCACCACCGATGCAGCAGCCGGCCTCCATATCTGCGCTACCGCAGCTGCCCGCACGGCAGCCGCCCGCACGGAGGAAGGCCATGCATGGCGGCCTGTTCTCGGGTCGCCAGTGGCTCCATAGGGCCTCCCAGGCGCGGCGCTGCTGCCCCCGCAGCGCCTCCGCCACCGCACAGGGCCCCTCCACCAGCAGCTGCATCAGCTCCTTCTCGTACGCCTGTCCGGGAGGGGAAAGGGAAAGGGGAAAGGAGGGGAGGTAGGAAGGTATTAGTGATTACATTAGTTATGCGACTGCCCGCATCGGACGCAGGTCTGAGCAGGACGGGGAAGGGAGCAAAGCTTGGAGGAAAGGGATCCTGGATGGAAGCGTCAGGGCGTCATGCAGATCTGACCATTCGTACCATCTGCCCAATCTTTCGGCCTTCTGATCAGTCGTCCAAACCGGGCAACCACCAAGCCCAGCACTCCCACCTCACCCTCGAACTGCACTCACCACACAATCCATTGCCTCAGGCACACCCACTCACCTCCATATAAAACCGCAGCTCAAATATGCCCAGCATCTCGCCATCTCCACCCTCCTGCGGCTTCCGCTGCTGTTGCTGACCCGGGTGATCATGTGGCTTCCCGCCTTCTCCTCCACCTGCGGAATCCCCGCTGGGCAGCTCGTTTTCGCCCTGCCGCGGGCACTCCGGGCAAATCTGCCGTATCGGGCCCCACTGCTGCCGCGGCCGCCGCTCCCGGGCCTCCAGCGGTGGGGCGCTGCCGGGCTCAGGGCGGACGCGCCACATGCTGTATGCCGCCCGGGCCTCAAGCAAGCGACCCGACGCAGTCTCCTCGGCTTCCTCCTTTTCGGGTTGCTGCTGCTGCTGTGAATCGGGGAAGCGACGCTGCTGCTGCAGCTGGAGTTGGGGGAGGACGTTCGGAGGAAGGGAGGCAGTCGGTGGTGTTGGGGTGGACGCAGCTGTGAGGGGTGCTTGTGTGGGGCACGCACATCGTCATATGCAGCGCACACACAACCGTACAGCCTAGCTGTCCTCCACACGCCACCTGGTCCCTAGGATCCCACTCGCTTGTGCGACGAGGAAGACGGCGCAGTTAAGCGACACCCCCTTTGCACACAATTCGTACACCACCGCACCTGCAGGACGTTGAGTCGGCCCAGGTTGTAGTCCACGAAGAAGTGCACCAGCGCCTTCATCTGCGGACTGGACACCACCCGCCAGCGGTCCATGGTGCAGCGGAGTGTGAGGGAGGGATCTGTGCGTGCCGGGGAGGGGACACAGGGGCCATGGAGGCGGAGGCAGGGGCAGCAGCAGGCCTTAACAAAAATGGTGGAAGGCAGGGAAAGCGCTGCCGGGCAAAGGCATGTCGCATGCGTTGTTGGGGACAGGCCAAGCATCTATGAGGTCGTGCCCAGCCTATCCTCGCGTGGGGTGAGCAGACAAGGGTCGGCATGCTAGCTGCTGCAGTACAGGCCCCCGCACAAACCCACTTCTGCTCAGGGTCTTGCGGTATCCGTCCGTCTTGCCCGCCTCCATCGGTGCCACCTCCTTCTTGTCGTACGCACGAACCAGCAGCTCGAAATCCCGGTTGTAAGCCTCCACGCTGTATATTCGGATTCGCCGCAAGAACAGGTACAAGAAGAAACACGACCGCCCCAGCCAGCCCCGCGGCCCTTCCATGTTCCCCTCCTGCGGCCAGCAACCGTTTACAGGCACGAGGCTTTGCGTGCGCAGGAACTCGTTCAAGCGCTGCATGAGCGGCTTGCGAGGATTTCCTGCTCCTTGTCCTCCTGAAGTGTCGGTTCTTCCGTCCTTGCCAGTGCCGCCGGGATTGCCACCACCGTTCTTGCTGGTACGATGCTTGCACCCTACAATATACTCGTTATGGTAGACCTCAGTCCACGCCACAGGAAACTGCTTCCGGTACGGAAGGTGGCTACTGCTGTCCTTTGTTTGGCCACCACCGCTGTCGCCAGAAGCATCCTCAGCGGATCCTTGCCGTCGCTGGTCTGGCTGCTGTCGCTGTTGCCGCTGTATCCGTGCTTGCCATACCTCGGTCTTGCGTTCGTTGACTCGCAGGGGGTCGGTGAAGACCCACAGGCAGGTCAGCAGCGTGTTGCGCAGGCGGAAGAACAGGAAGACGCAGTCGTAGAAGGCGTAGAGCAGGAAGGTGGAGTCCTTGTTGGTGTTGTTCTTCTTGGCCTCTTCGTATGCCCGTGAGAAGATCTGGGGAAATGTAGAGGGTCAGAGGTGGAAGGTCACAATCTGCTTTGGGACAGGTGACGGTCAGTCGAGGGGCTATGGTAACAGGGGCTGCAGTACTGCTGCTGGACGCGTGTGCGCTCAACAGTAGCAATGGGAGGCTTAAACGCTTAACCCTAGTGCGCGACAAGATAGCTGGAATGTTAGAAGCAAGCAGGCAAACCCACAGCTAGCAGGGTGTTCTGCACGACCAGCACCAGCAGCACCACCGACAGCCAGAAGAACAGCACCACGGCAACGTGGTAGTCGCCCAGACCGTTACCCTCCTGCGTGGGGGAGCGACCCGCGGGTCATCAGCGGTTTCTGAGGGTTAGGGAAGACTCCCGGCCAGGTCCAAAAGGTGCATGAGAGCACACCTCCAGGCCCCGCGGAGGGATGCCACGACACCACAAACATACTAGCACGAAAAACTAGTCACAGCCTGGCTGAAGGGACTAGGTCACGTGGACCCATATCTTCAGTCATCCCTCAACCGCCGCCTCCGTTTCTTACGTTTGTGAACGCTTCGTACTCAAAGAAGCCGAACGACAGCCGCGCCATGGATGACAGCCCGCGGCTGAACACCGAGAATCGGCTGTTTCCTCCGCTGATCATGAAGATGCTGAACAGCGCAGCGCACAACACCACCACGACGGAGATGACGAAGGCAAGGAACTCCAGAATATCGCGGTATGCCAGCCTGAACAGTGGGGCAGGGAAACATGGGCATGGGCAGGTAAGAGGAAAAGAACAATACATGCTGTTGAAGTGTAACGGCAGGATGGCATGGCCAGCCGGCATGGGTTGGATGGCAGGGCGGCAGGGAAAGGCGGGGAAGGCCTGTAATGTAGAGTGCATGGTGTTAGTGAAACGTAGCAGGCCCGACACCCAACTCAATTGGTAAGGTCGACACCACTAGCAACCACACAATCGGCTCACACGAGCACCCCGCAACGTGCTTAGCACCGACCGTGTAGCTCCCGCCAGCCACCCAAACCAACCCTGCGCGCCCTGCCACTCCGGCACCCGCGCACCCGGCCCCACCTGAAGAGCGTGTGGAAGACTCGCAGGCCCGAGTGGTACTTCATTTGCTGGTAGCTGCGCAGCCCCACTAGCAGGAAAATGGCCATGCTGAAGTACATCCAGCCGGTGTACAGCCTCGCCTCCGATTCCACTGCAGCCAGTTGCTGCGGGGCGGTGGGCGGGGGAAGGCAGAGGGCCGGGAGAAGACCATCATGGTAAGGATTTGGTGGAGGCAGCAGGCAGGATACGCAGCAGGGGCAACTATGGCAACGGGTAAAAGAAGCTGTTGTTTCTGTACTGGAAACAAAGCTCGCATGCTAACCAGCCGAGTGCGGCGGGTTGGACCTATAGCAGTTATGGTTTTTAGGGGTCATCCACCCAGCAGCCTGCATTGCAGCCTGCAATATGCGTGCAGCACACTGTGCTGAATAGACAGCACGCGTTCCGGTGGCCTATCCTACCGAGGGGCTCTGCGGGTAGGGCTCGTCCTTGCGGTATTCACACAGCCACAGCAAGTAGAACCACATGAAGATCCACGCCAGCGAGGCCAGGTGGGTGAACACGTCGAGGGCGTGCCAGGTGACGATGTTCCTGGTAATGGAAAGGGAGCCGAGGGGGAAGAGGGGTTTAGATCGGTTACGGTGATGGTATCAGGGAAAATACTGTAGTCTCTTAGCGGGTAGGAGCGAGACAGTGATGGTGGGGTAAGGTATTATTGTGCCATGATGACGGAGGGCAGGGTACGGCACGACAACCCAGCCTGGTCGTGTGGAGGACCCGACACCAGCCGTTTACAAACCCAACTTTCCCTCGCCATCACTGCTGCAACCACAGCCCGGCACAATGCTTTGGCCTTCCGCATACTACGTGAAAACGCCTCCCGGCAGCCCTCTGCCCTACATGTCTTGTCCCCGGCAGTCACTCCTCCATATCTACCATCCCCTCCACGACCATGTCTCCTTCCGTCACCCAATCTAGCACACCTGGATGACTTGCCGCCCAGGTACGACCACACGTTGCCCCCTTGCTGGTACGACAGCTGCATGGCGTGGACGGTGGCGGTGATGTCGTACACGACGGCCAGGATGGACAGCGCCATGAGGATCTTGCCTGCGGAGGGGATTAGCAGTGGCGGGCAAGGGACGCGGGCAGAGGCAGAGGTGTATGGCAATGAAAAGGAAATTGCAAAGTGCGCAAGAGCGGTTACCCCAGCAGCGATAGGTAGGGCTGCGTTTTGGCTCGGAGCCGCAACAGCATGCAACACGCAGGTGGCATGTGTGCAGTGCCTTTGCACAAGCAGCCGGCTTACGCCAACACTGTTCCCTTGTCACATGCAGCCCTACCCACTCGCAACCGCCCCCTCCTCCTCGTCCTGGCTTACACCATACTCACCACCAGCGGTCCATCCCGCCAGCACCGTCAGCGTCAGGGTGCTGGTGCTGAGCTCACCCTGCTTGGCATCCCGCTCGGCCTGTGGCAGAAGGAAGGTGCATTAAACACAACTGGTATAATCACCAGCCTTTCTTCCTCACAGTGCATTGGGAAAGCATCTGGGCGCCACACGAATTAGCCCACCTCATTCCGCACCTCGTTTCATTGCACATTCAACACAATCCAAATGCCCACTTCACCAAGAAGCATGCGAACTGCTCTTCATGCATCCTGTTCTCATACCACCTCACCTTCAGGTAGAACAGGACGCTGCTGCGCGGGTTGCGGCGGTCGTATGCATGGATGGTCAAAATCAGCTGCTTGGCAAACTTGCCCACCATTCCCCTGCCAGCTGTGAGCAGGTAGTCTAGCCCGCCCTGTGGTGGTGGGTTGCGATGGGGCATTGTGTACGGGGTTATTCGGAACGGGCCAGTTTGGTAAGAACACGGTATTCTGCGTCGTGCTGCCAACCTGCATCTCATCCAGGGTCACTTTCTGGATGTAGTCGGGCCACAGGCGGATGAGCTCCATGACGGCGGTGCTGTTCAGGGGGTCATGCGGGTCCATGTAGGCACGCAGCGTGCGCGGCAGACCCGTTGTCTTCACCGCACAGAAGCAGGCCTGCGGGTTGTCCTCGTCATCGGTGGGGGTGCAGATGCTGCGAGCGTGTAGGAACGGAGGAGGGGGGGTAGCAAGCACGGAGACCATGTAATGATGTAAGCCCACACCGTGGCCAGGCTAAACATGAATAAACCACGACCTGTTTGTGCGTGGGCTTGTCTTGCCGGGCCCTACATTGCATCATTGCTGGTGCATCACCCCTGCATGAGGCTGCTTACTGCAAGCAAGCAGACTGGCTCAGACGTCGTAAGCAGCTGTGCACATACCTCACGGCGGTGGCCGTCGAACATGTGAGATTCTTTGCCGGACTGGAAGACTCTGCGTGGGAGCGTGTTGAACAATGGGTGGAGGTGGGTATGCATCACCGAACTTGGAGTGAGAAAGGCATCGAGGGGCTAACTGGCGGGAAACGCCGCCCAAGGATGCAGCCCGGAAAGGCCTGTGCAAAACGCATACATATATACACATAACCCGTGTTCCCTTTTACAGAACCATTGTAAAGGCAATCAATTGTATACCTGTGGCATATACGACAAGGCGCCCACTCACCACTATTGTAGTTATAAACGTAATCGTAGTAGTCGTACGTGTAGTAGTAGTAGTAGTACTCATAGTCATGGTCCTGATAATCAGTGGAGTTATAGTCGAGCAGATCAGTGGAGGTGTAGTCATCCGGCTCAGTGGCGGCAGTGTTGTCATCCGGCTCAGTGGCGGCGGTGTTGAAGACCAGCTCAGTGGCGGTGTTGTCACCCGGATCAGTGGAGGTGTAGTCTTCCGGATCAGTGTCGGCAGTGTTGTCATCCGGCTCGGTGGCGGTGTTGTCATCCGGCTCAGTGGCGGTGCTGTCATCCGGCTCAGTGGCAGTGTTGTCATCCGGCTCGGTGGCGGTGTAGTCTTCCGGATCAGTGGTGGTGTTGTCATCCGGCTCAGTGGCGGTGTTGTCATCCGGCTCAGTGGAGGTGTTGTCATCCGGCTCGGTGGCGGTGTAGTCATCCGGATCAGTGGCGGTGTTGTCATCCGGCTCAGTGGCGGTGTTGTCATCCGGCTCAGTGGAGGTGTTGTTTCCCAATGAGGTTGGAGAAGGAGAAGGATAAAGAGAAGGACGAGGAGGAGGATAATGCGGAGGATGAGGAGGAGGTTGAGGAGGAGGAACAGGAGGAGTGGAGAAGTTGGTTTCGACATGTTGAACCCTGCCCACCAGGTCTAGGAAGAGGTAGCTGTCAAACTGCGTTCAAGGAAGGCCAGGCGGAGGCAGGCATGGGCATGGGCGTGGTTAGGCACGGCATTGCTTGCTAACTTGGTTGGGCTTGGTGAGTTGGAAGTTGGAAGGTGAGCAGGTTCAGAATCCCCAAAGGCATAGTTGCATGGTTTTTGACAGGCATCCTAATGAAACGTTTGCGTCCAAGGCATCTGCTTGCCTACATAGCTAGACAGTTAGGAAAACCATCATGACTACACGTTGCAGATCCTTTCAACCCGCTACGCTCCACACCTCAAAGTTCGAAAGCCTCTTTAGGTAGTACCCGTTCGACAGAATGTTGCGCGCGTTGAGGATCTTGTCTTGCTTCCCGCTTTCCTGCCACTCCAAACTGAAGTTCAAAACCTTGGGAGTAAGATCAGGGCAGATATCTGGCAGCTTCAGTACCTCCTCCGATAGCTCAGTACTTGTGCTGTTGTACCATGTTGCATTCTTTTCGGTGCCATTCTTGCGCAGAACCTCGTCTGGAAGGTCCCTGACCGTCTCAGCGAAGCCTCCCAGGAGGTATTCATACCAAGTAGCGGAGCTGTTCACGAACTTGGACGTCTCATCCCGAACCTTCTTGGCGACATCACGCGCGGAGGGTGGTGGGGCCAAAGAGCTGGTGCTGTTGGGCGGTGCCATTGCTGTAGTGCTAATGCCCACAAGGTCGGGTTCAGAGCATCGCTCTGGGAATTTCACCTGTGTGGAGGGGTTGCACAGTGGGGAGGGTGTGTAAAACACAGCGACACAGCCTGATAGAGAGGCAGCTATTGTAGGCATTAGTAGGTGGTTATCATGGCTTGCTCCATGAATATAGGACCATTACATTGGTCTCCCTAAACGAGATCACGTACAGGTAATGACGACCCACCCCCCTCATGTCACTTGCGGCCAAGCGCAGCGGCCCTCATTACCTACCTGGAGTTGGGCGTACGTGATGTGCGCAAAGTCTCCCAGGTAGACGAAGCTGCCGGCCTCGGGGGATACCTCCGAGCTGCGTCGGACCACACTCTTCACGTAGCTGCACGCAGGTGTTAGTGATGAAGGTTGCAGGAAAAGCGGTTACATGGCAGGGTTTTCCAGCTAGGGCAGCAGTATGCCGAGGAAGGGAAAGCTCATTGAGGAGTACTAAATGACGGGCAAGCAGTACACAGACGGGGCGGGCACGTGTGTATTCCAGCCGCTGGTTGAGCTAAGCTTGCATGTCCAGGTGCGTAGGCGAATGGCGTGGGGCTGCGAGATGTGCAGATGACCCATGGGTCACCCTACGGACACGGGACTAGACTTGTGACCTCCCGCTAGCGGCAGCATTGGGTTAGGTCTTAGGCAAGCTCGTATACTCTGCTTGAATTTTTCCGGTGAGCATCGGGAAGGTTTCTTGAACAGATGCGCAGTTTCCTTTCAAGGGACCCGGCCTATTGTGTGCATGTATGCGTGGCCAGGTGTGAAGCGGCCTGTTGGTAGCACCATCAGAGGCGCAAGCAGCTGGAGCCACTCATTTTGGGCTAAAGGAGCATATGGCCAGGTGCTCACCTCACGAAGTAATCAAAGGCGTCGACCATGTCGCTTGCGCCTGCAAGCTTTGTCTCCTCCCAGGATTTGCCCGTGTCGTATGCCTGTACACACAACAGGGAAAATTCGAGCAAACAGTAAGTCAGCATCACATGTCCTTTCACAAGGGAGGGCCGTCCGAAATCGTACTACCAAGTCTGCATGGTTAGGCGGCCAAACCCACAGCAGGATTCTTAATCCTTTGCTACCCATCATCCACCATAACTTTCGCCAACAGTCTTAAACCACACGCCATTCAGCTTGCGGCCTCTGTTATGCTCAATCGTTGGCAGTCAGTCCCGCGTACCGTATTGATATGTCACCATCAGGCCTCCCCCACCCACCTCGAAAGATCCAACCACGCTGCTCTTGAAGGCCGCCGCGCCATTTTCCGTCTGCCACCACAGCGCCATGAAAACCAGGAGGAAGAAGATGCCAAAGCGGTACAGCCGCTTGATGCCGTGCCAGGAGTAGCTGTCGATCAGCGCGTTCTCAAGGTACAGAGACCGACCAGGAGGCCCCTGCTGGCCGTTGTGGTCTCGGGGGTCGTTGCCGCCGCTGTCGCTGTCAGCTCCTCCGTTGCCTTCTGCCCTGCTGGAGCGGCCACGTAGCTGCTTGGGGTTGTAGCGAGGCTGTTCCTGCTTCCCTCCCTGCTCTTGCTTCTTCTGTCCTCCCACTTCCCCCTGCTCCTGCTCCTGCATCTCCCCACGCTGCGTATCCTGCTGCTTGTTGCTCCGCCGCCCAGCCGCCGTCAACCTGACGGACACGTGCGATTGTGGCGTAGCGCCCCCACCCGGGCTAGCGTCCCCGGTATCCGCCCCAGCAACAGCGCCTGAGGAGGCTCCAGCGGAGGAGCCCGGGGTACCTGGAGTGCCGGGGGAGTCATCAGTGTTCCGCGGGGGCGGTGAGGTAGACTGAGACGGTGGCGGAGGGGAGGAGGAGGGGAGGGTGCTGGAGGCTGTGGGGGAGCCGCCTGTCGAGGGTGAGGTAGGCTGGGTCGTGGACGTTTGTGTGGTGGTGAAGACTTGGAAGGTTGGGTTGCTAATGTTCGTAGGCTTGGTAGTCTGTTGGCTACACGCGTTGGCGTTGCCAGTTTTGCTGCTATCACCACTAGGACAGCCGGCACTGGCATCAGCAGCACCCTCGTGGGCGCTGCGAGAGGGCTTTGCGCCTGCCGGGAAGGTGTAGAAAATAGTCAAGAAGCAACAAGAAGATGCGGTTGTTAAGGGTTTATTTATGTCTAGGTACATAGGACTGGTAGCGCTCAGGAAAGCGCGAGCGGGACGCTTGTCGTTGGCATCGTACCACATAGCCGAACGTGGCGTGTTGCCGTTAATTGGTTAGATTAATGTTGTCAGACAACGACATGTGCTTGCGGATTTGCTTACCTTGCATGGGTTCCAAAATGCTGAGCTTCGCCTTCTCACCGCCGCTGCCCAGGTCCAGCAAGGCAGCCCACAACGAGCCTGAAATGGCAGATGAGCGGCTTTGGTTTCATGATCACACGCTATCCGGGATCCTGCCATATCCACCCCACCGATGGAGCCAGGATTTCGGTAACCAAACTTAAACAACCATGGTTGCCACGCTGGCGAGTAGATGGTCAGGCGCTTCGCCTCCTCACTCATGTTACCTGCTTACCTCTGTTGTAGCCCAGGACGACTCGCGTTGGGCCTAGTATCGGTAAGCCCGTTGTAAGCAGCCCGAAGCGAAATCCATAGCTGCGAAGGGCTGTGTTTGAGGATATAAATTAGTCGTAGATGCAATTCATAGAATACAAGTTGCGAAAACGACGGAGATCGCCGCTGCCTGTGATGCTATACGGCAGGGTCGAGGTGCTTTTGAGCCTCAGTCGCAGATGAACCTTAGGACAGGTTAGAAAACGGCGTCTTTAAGTGAGATAGTGTGCAAGAAGCGCGAATGAATGCCGCTAAACGAAACGCTTGCAATTGACGAGCGACGACTGTTAACGGGCGCAATACGGACCATGAGAAAACACTGCAACAAAACGTAGATTGCTTGCTGCATGGAGTCCTGAGGTTTGAGATGCAGCTAGGACTTAATACCGCGCACCAATGACTGCGTTACTAACATAGCATGCGTGTACGGTACATAATCCCGTATATCGTTGGCCGACAGGGCGCATTGAGTGGAAATGTGGAATGGAGATATGGAGAATGAGGGAGTCAGTGTTATGCATGATCATAACTTCTACATGCGAAATCACGGTAACAACAATGGTGGCTTCTACGAAGGGATACCGCAACAGAGAACAGTGACCAGCGGCGTGCGAGCTATAGTCAAGCTGTGATGACAATTGTCCACAAGTTTGCCTTGCTTCGAAGTGAACAGGACGGGTTGGCGCGCGCAACCGCTAACCTTTGGATGGACTTAGCCCTAGCGCCAGAGAAGCTCTTATAGATTAACCAGCTCGCCGTGAGACTTTTTGCGCACTGGCCAGGGAAGTAAGGCCCTTGCGAAAATAGCGGGACGCGTGAATCGCCATCCAAACTTGTTGAAGACGAATAATTTCAAGACATTTGGCAACAGAGAACTAGGTTTTCTGTCTCCACTTGTTCCGTGCAAGCTCGTGTGCCAGGGAATGACAGAGCCTTGGAGCAAGGCACAACATCGTAACGGTCTTTAATTTATTGGTGCTGCTTGCGGGAACATCATTGCTACCGCAAACCGGGCTGCACCTAACTTGGGCATGCCACGCGACCCACTCAGCCTGATGTGGAATCTGCTCTTGCTCCTTATTTGCCGTGGCGCTGCATGTCTCCTACATGCCCCTTCCATACTTCAACTTTAGCTTTGTACCTCGGGTGGGTCCTCGTTGCTCCTGCCGTTATGCCCACTGCCCACATCTGCACTTCCTCTCAGTCCTGTCCATGTGTTGTGTGCCGTGCTTGGAGATGCATGCACTGGCTGAGCTGGTGTGTCTGAATACCGGTATGCGAAGGGACTAAGCGATATGGGCTGGTTCCCTGGGTTGGCCGGGTAGGGAGCAGCAGCAACAGCAGCAGCATCGGTTTGCTGGTGGTGCTGGTACTGGTGGTGGTGTGGTGGTGTGGGAGGGGCTCGTCCCGCAGCACGGGGAAGCCGTTGTGTTGGCAGCGCTGCAATACATCGGTCAGCTTGCAACCCTGATGGCAGGGGGGGAGGAGCCGAGGAGGGGAGGAGGAGGTGGCACGCATAGAAAGGCGAGGTGGGGGTGGGGGTAACCTAATCCAGGAGAGATGCGCAGTTGGGGTGGTGTGAGTTAGTAGGAAAAGAGGTGTGCTGGGGTAAAAAGAAGAAACACACACATGTACACGCAGGATGACCCCGGCAGGCAAACTAACTTTAAAACAGTGGAAGCATATCACCACAATGCAGCCGTGTCATGAAGTTAGTCACCGCTCCGACTTAGTCTTGTCCTCCTTACCGGTAGCTGGCTGTTTCCTCTTTACACATCTTCCTCACCACCACCAGCAGGTCCCGCAGCAGGTCCCGCCGCCCCTCCCACTGCTCATGTTGTGTGCCCTGCGTGGAGATGCATGCACTGGCTGAGCTGGTGTGTCTGAATACCGGTATGCGAAGGGGTGCATTGGGAGGATGGAGGACGGAGACGGCAAGGAAGTAGGTTTTGGTGACGACATCATACGACACCCATGATCAAGTCGTGGGTCGTGGGTCGTGGGTCCCGGTCGTGTATTCCGGTGCCGCACCAGAAAGGCGTTCTATGTATGGTCCTATTGCTCAACGCTGGCGCCATCTGCGCCTCTGCGGGTGCTGCTGCTACTGGGCGGGCAGCTGCACCAGCCATGGCCGCATGGTCAGTGCTCCCACTGCCAAGCAACCCTGCCAAGGAGGCATCTGGGCCCTTATGCCGCGCCGGCTTCAGGAGCCCCGGCAGCGGCCTGCAGCAGCGCGAAGCAGCGTCGTTGCTGGATCCCACCTGTGGCCCCTGCGACGCGGGTGCTAGTCCGGGAGGGCTGCCTACCGGTATGTTTGGGAATGACGTGGTTCAGGACTGGGCGGCACCGATAGGCGGCACAACCGCAGCGGCAATGCAGTCGGCATGTTGGCGAGCGGCCCTGCTGGCGCTGCGTTCTCCGCCGTCAGCCTGCTCTCCGGCGTCTGCGGAGCAAAGCAGCCCAGGGGCGCGGGGAACGGGTGCCCAGGGGTCCCCATTGCAGCGTGCGGATAACCCCGAAGCCGCACTTTCTGCGCCTGCTAGGACACCGCTGGAGCAGCTAGGAGCCGCCGTCGCGCTCGTCAGCAGTGCGTTGGCTACGAAGTCGGCCAGTCCGATGCGGCGGTTGGCGTCCGCTAGGTCACTGTTGCCGGCTTTCGCACTGCAGGCTGCGGATGCCTCCATGCACACCCCATCCTCCTCCTCACCACCACCTCCAGAGCAAGAGCCGCAGCATCCAGGGCCGCAACAGCTGCTGCGCGGGGCTTCATACAGCATGCAGGAGGCAGTGGGCAGGTCCTGGCGAGCCCTGGGGTGTCGCAGGGCGGCGCACCGCCACCGCCTCCCCACGGGCCGTGCGTTCAGCATCAAGCTATTGCCCTGGTGCGACCCTGGTGCGGCTCTGTTGGTCTGCGTCTCCATTCCTTATGGCCATGTTCTAATGGGTTCCCTCTCCAGGTAAGTTTCCCGTAACGCGTGTCGATAACATGTATATTCGTATACCCAATATGCTTGTTGCTTTGAAATTCGTGACCGGCGGCGCGGCATATGTCTCCCTAGTGTTGCCACGCAAGGCGGCTTCTTCCTCAAGTCGTCTCGGCTTACGGTAAGCAACGATTCGGTAAGTATTTTGAGTTGCGTGCTTCTAGGACAGTGTCTCCGAATGCGCTCACTGCATGAGTCGGGATATGGGAATGGGACTCGTTGTATCACTTATTTATTTTTTCACCCAGCCATGAAGTCCTCCTGTGGCCCTGCCCAGTCGGCGAGCCCCGCCTGCCTCCGAGGTTGGAGGAGAGGGAGGCCTCAGGCGGGCCGGCTGCGGCCGCCTCCGCTGCCAGCCGCGCGGAGGTTGCTGCGCTGGCCTTCCTGGCGGCGGTGGAGCGGCAGGTGGAGATTGATGGCGTGGGCGGGGGGGTGCCCCCAGCCACCCATGCGGAGCTGGGGGCCTCGGAGGCGGCGGCGGCGGGGGACCGGCTGAGGCAGCTGGAGCTGGGGCTTGAGCCGCTGGGGGGGGCCAGGGGGGCGGGCTGGGAGCCGGCGGCGGCGGGGTTAGCAGGGCAGCAGTACGGTTGCAAGGGGGGGACGAGGGGCACTCGGCAGAAGCGGCTGGCGAGTCGCGGTCCGTACCACAGGTCGTACTCTGCAGTGCGGGGCTATGCGGCCATCTGGGAGACCAAGCAGCGCTGGGGCGGCAGCAGTGCCAGCAGCGTCGTCAGCAGCCGCAGCGGCAGCACGGGGCGGGGCTCCCGGCAGAGGGCTGGCCAGGCTGCCGAGCAGGCCAGTGCACGTCGTGCGGCTAGCAGCGGCCGTTGGGCGGGTGGGGCGGGCAGTGTGGATGGAAGCGCGAGTGCACGTGTGGGGCGTGCTTCGGATGATTGGACGGCGGCTGCTGATGTGGGGCGGGTGGAGCGGCAGCCCCCGTGCACCACCCGCTCCAGGCCGGTGGTGGGTGGTGGTGGCGGTGGTGGTGGCGGTGGTGGTGGCGGTGGTGGTGGCGGTGGTGGTGGCGGAGTGGGCGGCAGCAGTGCGCTGCTTGAGTCGACCCTGGCGGCGGTGCGGCGGGCCGTGACGCCCAACGCCACCCTCGCTCACGCCATGTCGCTCAACTGGCAGGCGCTCACGGCGCAGCAGCAGCAGGCGGCGGCGCAGCAGCAGCGAGGGGGAGGAGGGGGAACAGCTTCAGCCCGACGGGCGGGGGTATGGGAGCAGTAGTACGCGGTATTGGCGAGGGGCAGGGGAGGACAGGGCCCTTGGGGCTTTGGCCATCGTTGTTGTTGTTGTTGTTGTGGCGGAAGGGGTGTACGGGGGTGTATCAGGCATTCCGTCGACATAGGCTCCGCGAGCTGTAACGTGTTTTTGTAGAAGTGATAATTCTTTGCGTCTGCATGTTGCCATAGCATGCTATAGTGATCACTAGCATGCTGCATCCGGCGCATTCGTTGGTGCATAGTCCAGGACGGTGCTTGCGTGTCGTGACGGTGACCGTTACAGGCTACCGGTATAGATAAAAACATGACCTACAGGAAGTTTCGAGTTGCAGTCATTGATGTAGCTTGACAACCACGATACCACGTGGAACTGACGCATTACGTTGCATGCGTGTAATCCTGGCGGTTGCGAGACCGCCTGTTGTCCGCATGGGGCCCGAGAACGTTGGGCCATGCCAAAGTTGTACGGCACAGGGTTGTGTGACCTAACTAGTGCTCGCCGAGGTGGTGTGCCGAGGACTATCCTGTTAGGTCATCATCTTGACCTGCCGGCCGAATGGCTGGTACTAATTAGCAGCTCCTGCGCCTGCGAAGGAGCCGGACTAGACATGGGACGAGCGTTACCTCGTCTCACATCGTGGATGTTGTGTTGTCGTGGTGTGGAGGGGGCATGCTGAGTGCGTGGAGAACCGGGTTGCGGCATGAGGTAGAGTAGTGGGCAGTGGTTTGGACACAAATGCACCGAAGACGGCGGCGATGGTTTCGTATTGGAGGTATTGGTAACTGGACAACGATTGGTAGGGACAGCTTATAGGATTACCACCCGCAGGTGTGGTGTGGGTTGGCCCCAGGGCTGTAGGGACCCTTCCCCAGTACGTGCGCGGTTCTTAGGTGCCGGGTATCCAGCGGCAACCCCACGAGCCCACGAAGCGGACTGCCTGGCAACGCTAACGGTGTCGGCCCAACTGCCGTCACGGATTCAACAAGTTTTGGGACTTCAGGCAAAAGGGGTGGGTGATGGCAGAAGGCAGGCGGGAACTGATGCAGCGGCTGACGGTTAGACCAGGCAAGGCGATCTGAATGAACGAAAGGCTCTTGCAATCAGGTCAGGACATGGCGGCACAAGCCAGACTACCGTTATAAGCAGCCGCGCACAAGCCGAGCTATGAGCATGTATCTATCCGTACGAAGGGCCCACATGCGCAGCATGCAACCAAGCAACCACAGGCAACACAGACAAGCCCTAGCCATACTAGGCTGCGACGATAAATGTGTCTATGACGCCAACCAGTCACAGGGGAACAACTAGCGGCTGTACCGCCGGCCCCTCTGCATCCGCTGCCGCCTTGGCGAGCATCGGAGGGGAAGAAAGGGGTGCAGCAGGGGCCGGGTAAGCACTCGCAGCAATGGTGAGAGCACGAGACATGTGCCGAACCCAATTAACAACACATACAACTCGGGGCAACCGATAGCCTACTAGGTGTAATCATGATCCAGTCCTGCAATCGCTTCTTGTAAATAAGTAGCCGCTCTCAACTAGGCAGCCCTAAAATGGAACATTCGCACGCGAAATCCTGGAGCCAACGGTGCTTTACCGGGCAATCCTCAGCTTCCCAGTAAGCCTTGGGGACCCGGATGCGACGGCTCACAACACCAAACGGTAGCAGGACCAACGCTTCCGTAGCGCAACAATCTCATCTGGAGAGCCGTCCGCTACAGGACCCCAGTGCTGGTCGCTCTCGCGCTCGCATGTACGGCGAATCTGCACGCGCGCATGTACTGCATACGGACACTCAAGACCTCCGCCTCTGGCAGGCTACCCACCCAACCTCTGTTCACGTATCCCTTGGCCTCAGCTCACCAAAAGCCCCTGAAAAGCCGTACGTCAATGAGCTAGGCACTGCATATCAAAACAAATTAGCTCGTTACTCCTGAACTACATGAGCCACGAACGTGTTAATATCCAGCAAATCATTGCAAGCGTAAACAGCTCGCACGAGGTCACCATCCGCCTTGGCGGCAATGGCCCATGGATCACAAACGAATGACATTGCAACTTCCCAACTCCTCCCAATACGCATGCGCAATACATACTTTTCAATAGATTCCTTCACCAATGCGCCACTACCCACTCATACCGCTGCCAGCCCCTCATGCAGACCCAGCGGGCGACGGCGCCCCGCCGGCTCGCACTCCCCTCTCGTCCAGCACCCGCCTCAGCACCCGCTCCATCAACTCCTCCATATCCACCACATGCGCAGCACCATTAGCTGCGCCACCACCGGCGTCGCTGCCTCCACTGCTGCTGGTGCTCTCGCCACTACCCCCTGCAGCACCCTCTGCAGCACCCGCAACAGCACCCTCTGCAGCACCCGCAGCGGCACCCGCAGCGGCACCCTCTGCAGCAACCGCAGCAGCACCCTCTGCAGCAACCGCAGCAGCACCCGCACCACTCTGCTGCCCATGCTGCTGCTTGTCCTTCCGGATGACGCGGAAGCTTTTCTTGATTTCCTGCAGGTCCGCGGCCGCCTTGAGCTTCTGCATGCGCTTGTCCTGGATCAGGGTGGTGCGAAAGGGCACTGAGCCGTACACAGCCACCAGGGCGCGTACGAACTGTGCCGTACATGTCGTGCATTGGGGAATGGGCGGGGACGGGATGGCGCACATGGGGGCGGGGTTAGAGAGATACGTTCGGCATAAATGACAGAGGACGCAGGAAGAAGACGAGGCGCCGTGAGTTATGAGCGAAATTGTAACTCCACAAAGGTCCTAGGTGGCCTAGCCTCGGCCCTCAATGTTTCCGGTCTGATGCTACCGTCCTCTTCCAGCGCCATGCCAACTGAAAAACACATTTTTCATCCAACTGCCGGTGCTGCCGTGCCTACCTTCTTGAGGTCCTCGTCCTCAAGTCCGCCGCAGTCCAGGAAGGGGCGGAAGGGGTTGGGCCGGCCCTGCAGCCACACCGCCCAGCAGAACCTGCGCACCAGCTCCGTAGCCCAACGACCCCACGAGCCTCCCTCGCCCCCGCTGCCGCCTCCACCATAGCAGCCGTTGCCACCACCGATGCAGCAGCCGGCCTCCATATCTGCGCTACCGCAGCTGCCCGCGCGGCAGCCGCCCGCACGGAGGAAGGCCATGCATGGCGGCCTGTTCTCGGGTCGCCAGTGGCTCCATAGGGCCTCCCAGGCGCGGCGCTGCTGCCCCCGCAGCGCCTCCGCCACCGCGCAGGGCCCCTCCACCAGCAGCTGCATCAGCTGCGTCTCGTACGCCTGTCCGGGAGGGCAAAGGGAAAGGGGAAAGGAGGGGAGGAAGGAGCGTGTTAGTGGATTACAATACTTATGCGACTGCCCGCATGGGACGCAGGTATGAGCAGGAGGGAGTTGTGAGCGCAAGCATGGCGTCATGCGGATGTGCCCGTTCTTCCCGCCATCTGACCACTCGTCCAAACCGGGCAACCACCAAGCCCAGCACTCGCACCTCACCCTCTAACTGCATTAACCACACAATCCATTGCCTCAGGCACACCCACCCACCTCCACATAAAAGCGCAGCTCAATTATGCCCAGCATCTCGCCGTATCCACCCTCCTTCTGCTTCCGCTGCTGTTCCTGACCCGGGTGCTCGTGGGGCTGCCCTTCGCCTCCACCTGCGGAATCCCCGCTGGGCAGCTCATTTTCACCCTTCCGCGGGCACTCCGGACAAATCTGCCGTATCGGGCCCCACGGCTCCCGGGTCTCCAGCGGTGAAGCGCTGCCGGGCTCTGGCCGAACGCGCCACATGCTGTATGCCGCCCGGGCCTCAAGCAAGCAACCCGACTCCGTCTCCGCAGCTTCCTCCTCTTCGGGCTGCTGCTGTGGATCGGGGGCGCGAGGTTGCTGCTGCAGCTGAAGTTGGGGGAGGACGTGTAAGGAGGGAGGAAGGAAGAGACAGTCGGTGGGGTTGGGGTGGACGGAGGGGGCCTTGTGTGGGGCAAGCACGATGTTGGCTGCTGCGCACATAACCGTACAGCCTAACTGTCCTCCCCACACGCCACCTGGTCTCTAGGACCCCACGTGCTTGTGCGCTGGGGCAGACGATCCAGTTAAGTAACCGCCTTTGCGTACAATGTCCCATGCCATACTGTGGTTACAGTGTGGCGTACGTTAGTGTGCTAGAGGTAAGTCCACACCCCACTCCGTACACCACCGTACCTGCAGGACGTTGAGTCGGCCCAGGTTGTAGTCCACGAAGAAGTGCACCAGCGCCTTCATCTGCGGACTGGACACCACCCGCCAGCGATCCATGGTGCAGCGGAAGGTGAGGGAGGGATCTGTGCGTGCCGGGGAGGGGGACACAGGGGCCATTAGGGCAGCAGCAGCAGCGAGACATTAACAACACTGGTGTTTGATTCGTATGGTGGAAGGCAGGGAAAGCGCTGCCGGGTAAGGGCATTTCGCATGCGTTGTTGGGGACAGGCCAAGCACTTCGCAGCAGACAGGGTAGTGCCCAGCCTATCCTCGCGTGGGGTGAGCAGACAAGGGTCGGCATGCTAGCTGCTGCAGTACAGTCCCCCTGGTATCTGCAAGGGTAAAACGCCTGGCCCCCGTACAAACCCACTTCTGCTTAGGGTCTTGCGGTACATGTCCGTCTTGCCCGTCTCCATCGGTGCCACCTCCTTCTTCTTGTCGTACGCAAGAACCAGCAGCTCGAAATCCCGGTTGTAAGCCTCCACGCTATATATTTGGAATCGCCGCAAGAACAAGTACAAGAAGAAACACGACCGCCCCAGCCAGCCCCGCGGCCCTTTCATGTTCTCCTCCTGCGACCAGCAACCGTCTACAGGCACAAGACTTTGCGTGCGCAGAAACTCGTTCAAGCGCTGCATATGCGGCTTGCGAGGATTTCCTGCTCCTTGTCCACCTAAAGTGTCGGTTCCTCCGTCCTTGCCACAGGCACCAGTCGTGCCGCCGGAATGAACGTCGCCACCGCCTTTCTTGCTGGTATGATGCTTGCACCCAGCGATATACTCGTTATGGTAGGCCTTAGTCCATGACACAGGAAAACGTTTCCAGTACGGAAGGTGGCTGCTGCTGTCCTTTGTTTGGCCACCACCGCTGTCGCCAGCAGCACCTCCGCCGCCCTTGCTTCCAGACTCTGCGGTCCCTTGCCGTCGCTGGTCTGGCGGCTGCCGCAGTTGCTGCTTCCGTGCTTCCCATACCTCGGTCTTGCGTTCGTTGACTCGCAGGGGGTCGGTGAAGACCCACAGGCAGGTCAGCAGCGCGTTGCGCAAGCGGAAGAACAGGAAGACGCAGTCGTGGAGGGCGTATAGCAGAAAGGTGGAGTCCTTGTCGGTGTTGTTCTTCTTGGCCTCTTCGTATGCCCGTGAGAAGATCTGGGGACATGTAGAGGGCCAGAGGTGGACCGTCATAGTCTGCTTGGGGACAGGTGACGGTATTTCAAGGGGCTATGGTAATGGGAACTGCAGTGCTGCTCCATGCCAGTGTTAAGGACGCGTGTGCGCTCAACAGGAGCAATGGAAGGCTTGCAATGGGAGGCGTAAACGCTTAATCAAAAGTGCGCGACAAGACAGCTGCAACGTTACAAGCAAGCAGGCAAACCCACAGCTAGCAGGGTGTTCTGCACGACCAGCACCAGCAGCACCACCGACAGCCAGAAGAACAGCACCACGGCAACATGGTAGTCGCCCAGACCGTTACCCTCCTGCGTGGGGAAGCGAACCGCGGGTCAGCGGTTTCTGAGGGTTGGGGAAGATTCCTGCTAGTACCAAAAGGAGCATGAAAGCACCACCAAACCCTGCGGAGTGATGCCACGGCACCACAAACATACTAGCATGACACAAAACACAGCCTTGCAGAGGGGACTAGGTCACGGGGATCCACGTCTTCTGTCATCCCTGCCCTTTCTGGGCGAGGTCAAGTTCCGGTACTGCCGGGCAGCCCTGGGAATGGGCTGACGAGACTAGGAATGCGTGAGAGGGCGATGAATGGTAGTAAATCAGGGGGAGCAATTTAGACATGCATGCACCTATGCAGTGATAGCACGTTGGGGTCTGCAAAGGCAGGTAATGTAGGCGTTGACGGTGCAGTCATGGGTTGCATAGGGCAATGTCAATGCTACATGAGCCGTATGGTTTTGGCAAGTCGAAGGCTGTTGCGCGCTTTGTACCATATTTGTACTATAGTTCCTATTGCGCCAGCAGACCGCATGACTTTGCTGACCGGAGGCAGCACGGTACAGCAGGCAACATATTATGTCGAGTACACTTGTTGCCGTCCAGCATGATCTGCAGACCTGCTGGGTGTTGCTTTTCGCTCCTTAGGTTACGATGTTTGTTTGACCTGGTTGCGTCAGGTACGGCCCGAGGGGGAGTGTTGGTGTAAATAGGATGCGAGCCGTACCAGGCGAAGTTGAGAGTTGTTGAGGTGCGAGAGACGGACGGTTAGTCCGCTACTTTGGTTGTGTCATGGTCGTACAGCGAGGCTTTGGACTCATGTGGCTCAGGGTACTTTGGGTCACTCGTTTGCCTCTTCCCTGTTGTTGCAAGGACTCCAAGAAGAGAGTTGCGTATGATTTACGGCAGACAAAAACCTGTAAACCTACTGTTCCTTGAGCGACCAATCCTACGGGTCCAAACACACACTCGATAGCTATCGAGTGTGTGTTTGGATCCGCCGCCTCCGCTGCTTACGTTTGTGAACGCTTCGTACTCAAAGAAGCCGAACGACAGCCGCGCCATGGATGACAGCCCGCGGCTGAACACCGAGAAGCGGCTGTTTCCTCCGCTGATCATGAAGATGCTGAACAGCGCAGCGCACAACACCACCACGACGGAGATGACGAAGGTAAGGAACTCCAGAATATCGCGGTATGCCAGCCTGAACAGTGGGGCAGGGGCAGGGGCAGGGGCAGGTAAGAGGAAAGGAGTGATACATGCGGTTGAAGGGTAACGGCAGGATGGCATGGTGGGCCAGCCGACATGGGTGGGAGGGCAGGGCGGCAGGGAAAGGCGGGGTAGGAAGGGTGCATGGCGTTAGCGAAACGTCACAGCCCTTACAGGGCAAACTCACTTGGTAGGGTCGACACCACCAGCAACCAAACATATAGCTCACACGAGCATCCCGCCACTTGCTTAGCACCGACCGTGTAGCTCCCGCCAGCCACCCAAACCAACCCTGCGCTCCCTGCCACTCCGGCATCCGGCCCCACCTGAAGAGCGTGTGGAAGACTCGCAGGCCCGAGTGGTACTTCATTTGCTGGTAGCTGCGCAGCCCCACCAGCAGGAAAATGGCCATGCTGAAGTACATCCAGCCGGTGTACAGCCTCGCCTCCGATTCCACTGGAGCCAGTTGCTGCGCGGCGGTGGGCGGGAGCAGGCAGGGGGCCGGAAGATCGTCGTGGTAAGGATTTGGTGGAGGAAGCAGGCAGGGCACGAAGCTGGGGCCAAGTCCGGCAACGGGTGAAAGAAGCTGTTGTTACTGTACTGGAAACAAAGCTCGCATGCTAACCAGCTGTGTGCGGCGAGTTGGATCTATAGCAAGTAGGGCTTTAGGAAGTAATCCACCCAGCGGCCTGCATTGCAGCCTGCACGTATGCGTGCAGCATACAGTTGCTGATACACAGCACGCATTGCAGTGGCCCCGCCGTGGGGGCCTATCCTACCGAGGGGCTCTGCGGGTAGGGCTCGTCCGTGCGGTATTCACACAGCCACAGCAAGTGGAACCACACGAGGATCCACGCCAGCGAGGCCAGGTGGGTGAACACGTCTAGGGCGTGCCAGGTGATGATGTTCCTGTAAAGGGAGGGGGGGAAGGAGGGGTTTAGAAAGGTTACGGCGGTGCTATCAGGGAAATTACGGGTAACCCGTATTAGATGCGCCAGGCATCCGTTGCAAGTAATATGCCGAGCCGAATTTACCAAGACCCAACACTGACCGGACTGAGCGGGTAAGAGCGAGACAGTATGACGGAGGGCGGAGTACGGCACGAGAACTTCAGCCTGGCCGTGTGGAGGACCCGACGCAAACCCAGCATCCCCTCGCCATCACTGCCACCACCACAGCCCGGCACTCACTGCTTTGGTCTTCCGCAAGGCCTCCCAGACGCCTCCCGGCAGCCCTTTCCCCCACATGTCTTATCCGGGCAGCCACTCCTCCATATCTACCATCCCCGCCACGACCATGTCTCCCTCCGTCACCCAACCCAGCACACCTGGATGACTTGCCGCCCAGGTAGGACCACACGTTGCCCCCTTGCTGGTACGACAGCTGCATGGCGTGGACGGTGGAGGTGATGTCGTACACGACGGCCAGGATGGACAGCGCCATGAGGATCTTGCCTGCGGAGGGGATGGGCAGTGGCGGGCATGGGACGCGGGCAGAGGCAGAGGTGTATGGCAGTTTGCAAGGGATCGTGTCGGGAAATGCGCGAGAGTCGTTAACCAAGCGATGAGTGGGGCGGCGTTTTGGCTCGTAGCCGCAGCAGCATGCAATACGCAGGTGGCATGTGTGCAGTGCCTTTGCACAAGCAGCCGGCTTACGCCAACACTGTTCCCTTGTCACATGCAGCCCTTGGGCCCCTACCCACTCGCGACCGCCCCCCTTGACCCTCCCTACTCCTTGTCCTGGCCCTTACAGACTCACACCATACTCACCACCAGCGGTCCATCCCGCCAGCACCGTCAGCGTCAGGGTGCTGGTGCTGAGCTCACCCTGGCTGGTATCCCGCTCGGCCTGTGGCATAAGGAAGGAGCATTTAACACGAAGAAGCATGCGTACTGCTCTTCATGCATCCTGTCCTCGCACCACCCCACCTTCAGGTAGAACAAGACGCTGCTGCGCGGGTTGCGGCGGTCGTATGCATGGATGGTCAAAACCAGCTGCGTAGCAAACTTGCCCACCATTCCCCGGCCGGCTGTGAGCAGGTAGTCTAGCCCGCCCTGTAGTGGCGGGTTGCGATGGGGCGATGTGTACGGGGTTACTCACAACGGGCCGGTTTGGTAAGAACACGGTATTCTGCGTCGTCATGCCAACCTGCATCTCATCCAGGGTCACTTTCTGGATGTAGTCGGGCCACAGGCGGATGAGCTCCATGACGGCGGTGCTGTTCAGGGGGTCATGCGGGTCCATGTAGGCACGCAGCGTGCGCGGCAGACCCGTTGTCTTCACCGCACAGAAGCAGGCCTGCGGGTTGTCCTCGTCATCGGTGGGGGTGCAGATGCTGCGGGCGCGTAGGAACGGAGGAGGGGGCGTAGAAAGCACGGAGTTAGATCGTGTAATGATAATAGGGATGCGAATTTTACAGTAAACGGGTTTTGGGGGACTGTAATTACGTAACTGTAATCTGTAATTACTGTAAGACACTGTAATTACACCCCAAAATGCCGCAAAGGGGAAAGTGTAAATTACAGTGCCGTACCGCTTGTACGGCATGCCCCAAATACCTCTAAATCGCGACCCAACGTGGTATTTCTTGTGCCTTGACCTTCCCTCTATCATTGTAGAAGCAGAGACCGGAAAATATTGGGCATTGGCGGCATTTAAGCTTACTTGCTGTTTCCAATGTCCATTGACATTGTAAAATTGAAGCGGCACGTACGGTCCCAAACTGCCAGACATGGTTGCCTAACCCCCTTGTTGCTATATTGGTTAAGAAGAGAACTGAGCTTACGTAGTTTCCTGTGCCCCCGGTTGCCCATCAAGCCATCCATGTACATGGGTGGACATGGCAGTTGGTTCTTATGACGACGAAAGGTACCGCGACGACCCACGAACTGTTTGTAAGGCACCTGAACACGTTTTCGTGGCATTCTGGGCAGTACTGACACCACTTTCATTGCAAAAACGGCAAGAAACACACCGTGACCCATTGGTCATTTACACCCCTTACACTTTTCGGACCTCCTATGGAGTGTAATTACGTAAGGGGTCAAAACTGTAAATTACGGTACCCTCTGTGGCCGATTTACGTAATTACGTAACTGTAATCTGTAATTTACGTAACTGTAATTCTGTAACTCCCAACCCTAAATGATAATAGCCCGCACCGTGGCCAGGCTGAAAGCGAATAAATCACGACATGTTTGTGCATGGGCTCGTCTTGCCGGGCCCTACATTGCATCATCGCTGGTGCATCACCCCTGCACGAGGCTGCTTACTGCAAGCGAGCAGCCCGGCCACTTTCAGCCTGCTTTCCTAGCTCAGGCGTCCTAAAGCAGCTGTGCACATACCTCACGGTGGTGGCCGTCGAACATGTGAGGTTCTTCGCCGGACTGGAGGACTCTGCGCGAGAGCGTGGTGAACGATGGGTGGAGGTGGGTATGCATCACAGCACTTGGAGCGAGAAAGTCGTCGAGGGATTAAGTGACGGGAAAAGCCGCCCATGGCAAGGATGGGGGCCCAAAAGGGCCGTGCAGAGCGGGTATACATATGTATATCACCCGTGTTCATTTGTAGGGAACCATTGTAACGGTCATTCGTTCGTATACATGTTACGGCGGCATACTCACCACTACCGTAGTTAGAGTTATAAACGTAATCGTAGTAGTCGTACGTGTAATAGTAGTCGTAGTCGTCCGCATCAGTGGAGGTGTGGTAGCCCGGAGAGGCCGGAGAAGGAGGAGGATAAAGGGGAAGAGGAGGACGAGTGGAGAGGTTGGTTTCGACATGTCGAACCCTGCCCACCAGGTCGAGGAAGAGGTAGCTGTCAAACTGCGTTCAAGGGAGGCCAGGCGGAGGCAGGCATGGGCATGGGCGTGGTTAGGCACGGCATTGCTTGCTAACTTGGTTGGGCTTGGTGAGTTGGAAGTTGGAAGGTGAGCAAGTTCAGAATCCCCAAAGGCATAGTTGCATGGTTTTGACGGGCATCCTTGTGACACGTTTGCGACATCTGCTTGCCTACATAGCTAGACAGTCAGAAGAACCATCATCAGCTACGTGTCGCGGATCACCTCAACCGCTGCGTACCTCAAATTTCGAAAGCCTCTTTAGGTAGTACTCGTTTGACAGGATGTTGCGCGCGTTGAGGGACTTGTCTTGCTCCGCGTTTTTCGTCCACTCCAAGCTGAAGTTCAAAGTCTTCGGAGTAAAATCGGGGCATGTATCTGGCAGCTGCAGTACCTGCTCCGATAGCTCAGTACTTGTGTACCCCGTTGCGTCCTTTTCGGTGCGACTCTTGCTCGGAATGTCGCCTGGAAGGTCCTTGACGTCCTTTGCGAAACCTCCCAGAAGGTATTCCAACCAAGTGGAACTTTCCACGAACCTGGACGTCTCGTCTCGAACCTTCTTGGCGACATCACGTGCGGAGAGTGGTGGGGGTGAAGAGCTGGTGCTGCCTGGCGGTGCCGTTGCTTTAGGGCTATTGCCCGCAAGGTCGGGTTCAGAGCATGACTCTGGAAATTTCACCTGCGTGCAGGGTGGGGGTGGACCAGCCCAAGTCGACAGTGGGGGTGGGGAGGGTATAAACCGGGAGCGACACGGCCTGGTAGGGAGGCAGGTACTGTAGACAATAGTACGTGTCAGATGGTCAGCAGGGCTTGCTCCCTGAACATACAACCCTTACATTGGTCTCCCTACATGGGTGATGACGACCCACCCCCCTCATGTCACGTGCGGCCAAGCGCAGCGGCCCTCATTACCTACCTGGAGTTGGGCGTACGTGATGTGCGCAAAGTCCCCCAGGTAGACGAAGCTGCCAGCCTCGGGGGATACCTCCGAGCTGCGTCGGACCACGCTCTTCACGTAGCTACAAGCAGGTGTTAGTGATGAGGGTTGCAGGGAACGTGGTGACGTAGCAGGCCGCAGCTTGGGCAGCAGTATGCCGAGGAAGGGAAAGCTATTTTAATACTACTGGATGATGGATAAGCATTAATAAGACGGGGCGGGCACGTGTGTATTCCAGCAGCTGGTTGAGCTAGGTTTGCACGTCCAGGTGCGTTAGGTGGCAAACGGCGTGGGGTTGCGAGATGAGCAGATGACCCATGGGTCACCCTACGGACACGGGACTAGACTCGTGACCTTCAAGAATAGAGCATCAGGAAGGGTTTCTTGGACAGACCCGGCGTTTCCGTTCAAGAGACGCGGCTTTGCATGTGCATGGCAGCGTGTCCTGGTGTGAAGCGGCCGCTGGTGGCTCCATCAAGAGGCGCGAGCAACCGGAAACACCCATGTGGAGCTAAAGAAGCAGGTGCTCACCTCACGAAATAATCAAAGGCATCGACCATGTCGCTTGCGCCTGCAAGCTTCGTCTCCTCCCAGGATTTGCCCGTGTCGTATGCCTGTACACACATTAGCGATAACTTCAAGCGTGTTAGAGCAAACAGTCAGTCATGTATTCTTCCACTACCAACTAGGAAGGACAGTCATGGAAGGGGTGGTCCGCTACCCCTCTGCATGTTAAAACGACCAAACCCGCAGCAGGACTTTTAATCCTTTGCTACCCATCATCCACCGTAACTTTTACCCCATGGTGGAGGAGCAACGGGCTTTCATGAGGGAGATTGTCGCGGCGAGGAACCCAACCATGGTGTCACTCTACAGGGAGTTGTCTCAACTCCCTCTGCAATACCATCGGGCCAAAATCACCCTACAATTTTGGAACAACCTCGCTCGTAAAAGCGACAACCCTAGTCATTTGGCATTTAAGGGGGATCTGTTATTAGCGGCAACTGGTGTAGCCGACTGCAGGGCTGCTGAGGTCATTGATTTCATAACCGAGCTTTGTATTCCTAGGCCCGCATATGGCGACGCCACTGGCTTCGCCCAGTACTATAGTTAAGTAGAATTACCCGTTAACGATTTACTTAAGAAGTATAGGGAACGCCTGGAGGCTAGATGGTTGACCCCTGAGGTGGAGGTGCCCCCACGGGAGTATGACGAGCCCAGGGGTGTTAAGTCGTGCCGCTATGCCCAGTGGATGGGACTAGCGTTTAAAGGGGGTGAGTCCGTGGTGTGGCTACCCCACGCCAGTGCGCTTATCCCCCGCGGCAAGCATCAGCCGCTCATGCGATTTAGACTAGGGTGTTGGGATATTGAGGTGAACTCGCACGGGAACCGCCCTAGGTCTGAGAGAGTTTGCAAGTGTTGCAACGAGAACAACGCCGATAATGCATATTTTCATGGAGTGCCCGTGCTACGACGAGCTACGTCGTGAGTACGAGGGTTCCCTGAGCTTTAGCAGTAGGTCCATGAGGGAGATTATGACATCTGCCCCTCCCGAGGCTCTGGCTAGCTACCTGAGCCGCGTATGGGAGACCCGCATGTCTGTCAGAAACCACTTGCGCAGAGCCCCTAAACGGAGGCCTGTAGGGGGCCCTGACTCAGACTAACTTTGGTTCTTATAGTGTCCTTGGCCCCCCTGGCTCGTACGGACACACTGTACACGCGTACAGACTGTAACTGTAACCAACACTCACAAATTACACGTCATTCAGCTTGCGGCCTCCGTCAAATTCAACGATCGGCAGTCAGTCATTCACATTAGTTTCACGGACCGGAATGATATGTCACCATCACCCCTCCCCAACCCACCTCGAAAGATCCAACCACGCTGCTCTTGAAGGCCGCCGCGCCACTTTCCGTCTGCCACCACAGCGCCAGAAAAACCAGAAGGAAGAAGATGCCGAAGCGGTACAGCCGCTTGATGCCGTGCCAGGAATAGCTGTCGATCAGCGCGTTCTCAAGGTACAAAGAGCTACCAGGAGGCCCCTGCTGGCCGTTGTGGTCTCGGGGGTCGTCACCGCCGCTGTCGCTGTCAGCTCCTCCGTTGCCTTCTGCCCTGCTGGAACGGCCACGTAGCGGCTTGGGGTTGTAGCGAGGCTGTTCCTGCTGGCCTCCCTGCTCTTGCTTCTTCTGTCCTCCCACTTCCACCTGCTCCTGCATCTCCCCCGGCTCCTGCATCTCCCCCGGCTCCTGCATCTCCCCCGGCTCCTGCATCTCCCCCTGCTCCTGCATCTCCCCATGCTGCTTGTTGCTCCGCCGCCCATCCGACGTCAACCTGACAGACACGTTAAATTGTGGTGTAGCGCTCCCGCCCGGGGTGGAAGCGGACCCGGTAGCCGCCCCAGCAGCAGCGCCTGAGGAGCCTCCAGCGGAGGAGCCCGGGGTACCTGGGGAGCTGTCTTGCGGGAAGGTGGAGGTCCGCGGGAGCGGCGAGGCTGATGGAGATGGGGGTGGAGGTGAGGATGGGAGGTTGCTTGAGGCGGTTCGGGGGCCGCCTGTTGAGGTGGCATCGCTAGGTCGGGGGGCGGATGGTTGGGCGGTGGTGAACACATGGAAGGTCGGGTTGCTGATGTTCATAGGGTTGTTGGTCTGTTGTCTACAAGCGTTGGCGTCGCTGATTTTGCTGCTATCACCACTGGGACAACCGGAACTGACCGGAGAAACACCCTCGTCGGTGTTGCGGGTTGGCTTGGGCTTTGCGCCTGTAGGGAAGGTGTGAACAAGGTCAAGAGGTGCTGTTTACGAGGTAAGATGTATTGAATGCATGACCGTTACAATGGTGCCCTAAAAGGGACATGTATGGTCTAACTAAAAAGCTGCAGAACATCAGGCTGGATTGTAAGTTTGTAACGCTCAGGATTAGGCATGCCGGCGTATAATGTACTAATCGTTATACGCATAAAACATGCGTATTTGCGCGTATAAAGATTTCGAGCAGCGTATGGGAAATACGTACGTAAACATAAGCGTCAAATTCCGTATACGGGAAGTTTGATTGTGCATGCCATACAACAGGAAAACCTCCCAAACAAACCCGGCGTGTTGTCGGCGTGTAGGGCGGACTGTGGGCACGCCTGGCTCCTAGAGATGGATACATGCGGTGCTTGCCCTGTGAAGCCCTAAGATAGGATGTCTGCGGCAAGCCATGTAGGCATATGCGTACTATACGCTTTATACGTACATATATATTCATGCGTATAATACCGTATGTATACCGGTTATCAGTACGTATATGCGGCAAGCCTACTCAGGAAGCGAGGGCGGGTGCAGGTTGCTCGCGTCGTTCCACCGTGTTACAAAGTTGCGTAATGTTCAGGCTGATTGGTGGCATTGAGAAAAGCGCTGGCGGGTGCTAGTCGTTGGTACCGTAGCAATAAGCACCAGGTGTGCTCGGCCACCACCTACAATTATTATGTTGTTGTTCTGGAACCTCTGCATATGCTTGCCAGTTACTTACCTTGCATGGCTGCAGCCTAGAGAGTTCCCGCTTCGCAGTTGCACCACTGGCCTGGTTCAGCCAGGCAGACCATAGCGATCCTGCAATAGCAAAGTGAGCAGCTGTAAGTGCTCAACTTTGTATAAGATTGCACGCTATTTGCAATCCTGGGTCAAAATTCCAGCTTCAACAACCATCATCGCCAGGCTGGCAAACAAGTTGCCGTAAGCATTGCCTCCACACCCATGATTCCAGCGTACCTTCAATCTCCGTCCCAGCGCGATTTGCGTTGGGCCTAGCACCGACAATCCTACTGCCGGCAGTACCGGTAGCCAGAGGTGAGTATCAATACTGTGCTAATCGATACTCGAATATTTATACCTCAATTTCTAGCTTTATTTATAGGATGCCCGGGTTACAAAAAAGCAGGGAGAACGCGACCATGATGCTATACGGCAGCGACGTGGCTTGTTTAAGCCTTGGGTGCAAACGCACCAAACGAAAAGCTTGATCACAGGGTAGACAGAGTTTCGTTAAGGCGTGTGTTTTGCGGAAAGCGGGAATGTGTCCTACAAAACGAAGCGCTTGCATGGACGAGCGACGACATTTAACGGGCAAGTTGTCCCCCCCCCGAGGTGTTATCAGGAATTGGAATCCAGTATTCGGCTGCTAAACGCGCGCCAGTGAGGGAAAGAAAACCACTCTTTGCCTACGTGGTGTATCCGGAATTCGTTGGTGCGGTGAAGTAGCTATCCCACGCCCCAGCGGCTACAAACGCAATTGCTGCTCTTTGGACGGTTCGCCTCGGTTGCAATAATGGACACTGCCCGCCCCCCCGCCCTTACACTGGACATAAGCATATTGAGCAGCGCCGGCTGTGCGACGTCTGCTTGCACTTTGGCAAATGGGTCCCGACCATGGTCGCGAACACTGCACCCCCCAAGCCAACAGTTTCTTCAAGAGCGTATGTCTAAAGACAAGGATATGAGAGCTGCTGTACTGCAGGTGATTCTGTGACCCATGAATATAATCGTCACGAGTTTCAGTGCATAGAAAACTCCACTTGTACGCTGCAATGCGTCTATCTCACGACATATTCAACACAGATTTACCAGTCGGCATACGTGTGGGCAAGGAAATCATGCACAGTTACAAAACGAAGCAAGTGGGTTGTTTCGTTAGTGTCTGGGAAAAGCATAGCGGACGCACGCGGCCGTGAAGGCACTTTTATGAAAGGCTCCTACATACAGAACCGTGCGCAGTATACAATGACCTTCAAAGCAAAGCTTCCTGGTGCATGCCAATCGCCTCTGGCATAGATGTTGCTGACTCGCAATGGAGAAAAGAGCAGCAACATCTGCACATATGCCATGCGCAATTGTTACACATACACATGGGCCGGAAAGCGGTAATTGCAACGTGCTCTACCGTGGGAGACCCCGCCATGTGTAGGTGTGCGCGGTTGATGGATGGGCGCCCATTGCTGCTGCCTATCGAAAAGCGAACAGCTAGCGTTGATTGCATAGGCACAATGCATGTGGCTATTCTTGACGCACATGGGCCGGAAAGCGGTAATTGCAACGTGCTCTACCGTGGGAGACCCCGCCATGTGTGCACGGTGTGCACGGTTGATGGATGGGCGCCCATTGCTGCTGCCTATCGAAAAGCGAACAGCTAGCGTTGATTGCACAGGCACAATGCATGTGGCTATTCTTGACGCACATGGGCCGGAAAGCGGTAATTGCAACGTGCTCTACCGTGGGAGACCCCGCCATGTGTAGGTGTGCACGGTTGATGGATGGGCGCCCATTGCTGCTGCCTATCGAAAAGCGAACAGCTAGCGTTGATTGCACAGGCACAATGCATGTGGCTATTCTTGACGCACATGGGCCGGAAAGCGGTAATTGCAACGTGCTCTACCGTGGGAGACCCCGCCATGTGTAGGTGTGCACGGTTGATGGATGGGCGCCCATTGCTGCTGCCTATCGAAAAGCGAACAGCTAGCGTTGATTGCACAGGCACAATGCATGTGGCTATTCTTGACGCACATGGGCCGGAAAGCGGTAATTGCAACGTGCTCTACAGTGGGAGACTTCGCTATGTGTTCCTAGGGCTTTTGCAAAGGGTTTACGGACCTGTTCAACACCTAAGCTTCCACATACTGCGCAACCCCCACTTATAACGTTGTGCGCATTGTTCAAAGGGGCACACACACAGGTTAATCTTTCGGCAATCACAGTACGTTTCGCCTCGCGGCCAGTTATTTTAACACACGTTAATGAAAATGCGACGATGATGAGAGAAGCCGACCAAGGAACGACGTCAGAACTTGGTGGCTAGAAGTACCAAACATAGGTTTGCAGGCTCCGTGATGACAAAACTTTGCAGGTTACGGCTGTGTGCTGCTTGTGCGCCAGCCGAAAGAACAACAACATGCAGGCCACAGCACACAACAACCAGCACCCAGACACCATCCTCAACTAACGTGCGAGTAACCACCCCTACGTCTGGGGGGAAGAAGGAAAGACCCCCCGTATACACCCAGGATTAGTCGAGGGGGGGGGGGTTCGTAATAAGTCCCACGTCATTTCGGCTCCGTGGTGCGGAGAAACTCCCAGAAAAGAGTGGACTGGTTGTAAAATGTCATGACTCATGAGTACCGGTACTTCAAGGATTTGGATTGGTATACCCACACCTGCATTACTATCGTAGCAGGTGCGGTACGGTTCCCTAACTCGTTGTTGGACGGCACCTTCAGAAGCAGTGTAGGAATAAGTGCTAGTGGTAAATGACTAGCTTTGAATGCAAGTGGAACAGTCCACAGGGTAGGGTTGCAGTGTATGGTTGGGTTCATCACCCGTGTTCCCTTTTAGGGAACCATTGTAACAATCATGCATTCAGTCCACAAGTTCGTCACAAGTCTGGAAGGCATCGAAAGGATTCAGATGCACAGAGCGACCTTGAACCGTGAATGACCTAGACCTAGAGCTAAATTAGTCCTAATGACCGCTGAGTATCTTGGTTTGCTTTCACGGCCAGCCCCTATATGCAAGCGTGCAAGGGCATCCTTCGCGCGCAATTGCCAAGAAAGGACCCTTGCGATTAGGATGGGACCCTATCCAAACTTTCTTCAGGCAAGCTCAATATTATGGGCGACAGTTTACCTAGGGTGATGGTTTTTGTTCCATGCAAGCTAGCACAAGGAAATGGCAGAGCTTTGGAGCAGGGTACAAAATTGGCGTCGCTTATGGGGATTATCATATGTTAGGTTGCCATCTTACTAATTGAGGAGGCCATGAGACCCACTCGGAGATTGGGCTTCTGATCCCCAATTAGCCGCCGCACCACATGTCCCGTTCAAACTTCCACTTGTGTGTTATGGCCCCAGCTCTGTACCTCGGTTGTGCCCTTGTTGGTCCTGTTACCTACGTCCACTGCCACCTGCACTTGCAATCCCTTGCAATCCGCCCGCATCTTGTATCCAAAAGCCGACTCACCGCTGGCGCCCACCGTGCTTCACTATTTGTCTTAACCCCACCAACACTCCCACACACCCAACCCCGCTCCTCCAACCGGTCTAATCCTATCCACTCCCACCTATTCCTCACCACCACCAGCACAGCACCCGCAGCAGGTCCCACCGTCCCTCCCACCGCTCATGCGCCAGCACCGTGCGCGCCGTGGCAGTGGCAGTGGCCCAGCACCCCCACCAGCGCAAACAGCGCCGCGTTCACGCGCACGGCGTCGTCCGGGTGGGTGGCGGCGGCAACGTGCTGCTCGTCCAGCGACAGCACGCAGGAGTGGAAGGCGCGGCGCATGGTGCGGAAGCGCCGGCGGAGCTGTGCGGGGTGGCGGAATGGGGGGGGGCGGGGCGAGGGAGGGCGGGTGGGAAGGATGGTGAGGAGGAGAGGGTGGGTAAGGTGAGGTGCGACGCGGTGGGTGCAAGGCAGCGGTCCATGCGGCAGTACCGGTATGCGAAAACCAGGTACGACGCCGCAGTACCAGAGTCCTGACGACGAAGGAAGGCCGCCAATCTACTCCTCCGCACACGCAGTTTTGCGACCAGTTCATTGAATATTACGCACCTGCACTCGCCGCCGATCCAGCTCCTCCACGGCCGCCTGCAGCGCCGCCCGCGGAACCCCGTCACCGCCACCCCGTGCCCCCTCCCCCGCCTCCATGTCGCGGGCCGCCCAGCGGGCAGCAGCACGAGCGGGCGCCGCAACCCTACCCGAAGAGCCAGGCAGCGGTCGGCCC